ACGGATGGAAACTCATCAAGGAGAGAAGCAACCTAGAAATAAGGAGAAATTTCCTGACAAAACAATTAATCAGTGGAATAGCTTGTCTCCTGTAGTTGCACTGGAAAAAGTGCAGAGGAGAGCCACAAAGACAATCAGGGGTCTGGAGGCTAAAACATAATGAAGAAGGGTTGCAGGAATTGGGAATGGCCAGTCTAGAGAAAAGAAGGACCAGGGGGTGACAGGATAGCAGTGATTCAATATCTCAGGGGCTGCCCGAAAGAAGAGGGAGTCAAGCTATTCTCCAAAGCATCTGAAGGCAGGATAAGAAATAACAGGTGGAAATTAATCAAGGAGAGAAGCAACCTGGAACTAAGGAGAAATTTCCTGACAGAACAATCCACTAGAACTGTTGGCTTGGGTGAACAAGTCTATTTCAGGAATCCACAGTTGTCACCGATAGTCCTTGACGTACGAGCTGTTTGTTTAGTGACCGTTCAAAGTTATAACAGACTTATGACCATTTTTCACACTTAATGGCCATTGCAGCATCTCCTTGGTCACGTGATCAAAATTCAGCCACTGGGCGACTGATTCATACTTACGACGGTTGCCAGTGTCCCGGGGGTGTGTGTCACGTGATCCCCTTTTGCGACCTTCTGACAAGCAAAGCCAATGGGGGGGGGGGATGCCGGATTCCCTTAATAACCGTGTTACTAATTTAACAACTGCGGCGATTCTTTTAACAACCGTGGCAGCAAAAGTTGCAAAAAGGGGCAAAAATCGCTTAAGAACTGCCTTGCTTAGCCAACGGAAGTAGTAATAATAATAATAGTAGTAGTAGTAGTAGTAGTAGTAGTAGTAGTAGTAGTAGTAGTAATAATAATAAAGTTGGAAGGGACCTTGGAGGTCATCTAGTCCAACCCCCTGCTCAGGCAAGAAACCCTATACCATTTCAGACAAATGGCTGTCCAGTCTCTTACTAAGAACTTCCAGTGTTGGAGCATTCACCGCTTCTGGAGGCAGGTGGTTCCACTGGTTAATTGTTCTAACTGTCAGGAAGTTTCTCCTTAGTTCTAGGTTGCTTCTCTCCTTGATGAGTTTCCATCCGTTGCTTCTTGACCTGCCTTCAGGCGCTTTGGAGAATAGCTTGACTCCCTCTTCTTTGGGGTAGCCCCTGAGATATTGGAAGGCTGCTATTATGTCCCCCCTCGTCCTTCTGTTCATTAAACTAGACATACCCAATTCCAGCCACCATTCATTGTTTGTTTTAGCCTCCAGTCCCCTGATCATCTTTGTTGCTCTTTTCTGCACTCTTTCTAGAGTCTCAACATCTTTTTTACATCGTGGTGACCAAAACTGGATGCAGGATTCCAAGTGTGGCCTTACCAAGGCCTTGTAAAGTAGTATTAACACTTCACATGATCTTGATTCTGTCCCTCTGTTAATGCAGCCCAGCACTGTGTTGGCCTTTTTGGCAGCTGCAGCACACGGCTGGCTCCTATTTAAGGGATTGTCCACTAGGACTCCAAGGTCCCTTTCGTAGTTACTACTAGTGAGGAAGGTACCCCTATACTATACCTGTACATTTGGTTTTTCTTGCCAATGGAAGTGCTGGGCTCAGTTGGCATAAGTCAAGGAGTGCCTGTGCTTATTTTCCGAATCACCTTTTCCGCTTTCATCATATAATAACTTCTGCATTCCACCGATGAGGAACCTTTCTTCCTCCTTCATATGTGGCTGAACTACATTTCTCAGCCAGCGAGGCTTCTGGGTGAAGCATGTTGTAATTCGTCAAACATCTGGAGTCTATAAATTTATCTTGCTCCACCCCATCTCTGTCTTCGCCTTTGATTTTCGGAGCAGAATTCTAAAATTTTTTCCCAGGTTGCTTTCCAGTCTGATTTAAACCGGATTTTTTTTAATAAAAAAACTGGGGAACCTTTTCCAAACAGACATTCCTGTGGATATTTTGGATTGCAAATTTGCAACCGGACTCGGCCGGAATAGCCAAACGGGCAGGGAGAATGGAAACTGTTGATTCAAAACTTCTGCAGGGCACCGGACTGAAAAAGGCTGCAATTGTAGAGTTGTTGTTTTGTTAAAAAAAAATATCGGTTTTAGGGGGCGAAAAAAGTCAAAAGGATTCAAAGTTGTCCCACGAGCCAGCCAAGGGCTCTGCGTCACAAAAGGGATATTTAGCAGGAGCGTCCTTCATATCAAATCAAAAAAAGCAGAAAGGGTCAATGAAAACAGCTGTTTTGCATGTAGCCTATAGCGCCTTCCTGAGAAGTGGAGAATTTGCCTCCGGTCACTGTGCAGGGATGCCTGCTTGAGCAGTGCTTCTGAGGGGTGTAAAAACCCACAACCACAACCATCGGCGGGCCTTGCCTCGTGCCACAACTTCTGCTGTGGAATGAGGAGGGGTTGAGTTGCTGGGGATCAAGTAGGCCAAGTGGTCTTCAAACTGGGCCACTGTAAGACTTGGGGACTTCAACTCCCAGAATTCCTCAGCCAGCCAGCCAGCCAGGAATTGTGGGAGCTGAAGTCCACAAGTCTTAAAAGTTGCCAACTCTGGAGAACCTGCAATAGATCCTCAAGGTGACTTCAGATGTTCTTCGTATCTCGTAACAGAAAGCCTGGAGAGCTTTCTATCTTAAAAAACTACAGTTGCTTTATAGCAGGGGTCTTCAAACTTGGCCACTTTAAGACTTGTGGACTTCAACTCCCAGAATTCCTCAGCCAGCCCTGAGGGCTGGCCCTGAGGGCAGGCCCTGAGGGCTGGCTGAGGGATTCTGGGAGTTGAAGTCCACAAGTCTTAAAGTGGCCCAGTTTGAAGACCCCTGAAGTAGGCTGTCCTTTGAGCTTCCTTGCAAGGGTCTGGATTCTGCCTGCTACATCATGGGGTGGATTGAATCGTGACCAATTTCTCTTCCAGAATGCTTCGGATATGCCAGAAACCATCACCAGCCGAGACGCGGCCCGTTTTCCGATCGTTGCCAGCTGTACTCTCCTAGGACTCTATCTCTTCTTCAAAGTAAGTCAAGCGACAGAAGCCCCTTTGCTGGGACAGCCTTCTTCCGTGGGGTCCTTGGTGCTCTCTGAGCTGGGTGGTTCTCTTGCAGACGTTTCATGACCCAACTAGGGAACATCATCAGTGTTAGAAGGGAGTGGGGTGTGTGGAGAGGAGAAGGAGGAGGAGGACTGTAGGGTCCTTGGTGCTCTCTGAGCTGGGTTGCTCTCTTGCAGACGTTTCATGACCCANAGTTGGAAGACTGGGATCCTTGGTGCTCTCTGAGCTGGGTGGTTCTCTTGTGCAGACGTTTCATGACCCAACTAGGTAATGTTATCAGTGCTAGAAGGGAGTGGGGTTTACAGAGTAGAGGAGCAGGAGGACTGTGGAGTCCTTGGTACTCTCCAAACTTGGTTGTTTTCTTGCAGACGTTTCATGACCCAACTAGGTAACATCATCAGTGCTTGGAGGGAATGGGGCTTTTGCTCTCTATTGATATTACAATTTTCTTCTGATTCAAAGCTGATCCAATAGGGTGGCCAGGAAGGGACCGTGGTTCCCTCTTGGAGATGGAAGAAGCTTTTCCAACCATCTGTTGGGAAGGAATTTGAAGCTTCTGGAGGCCAAACCTGACGTCACGTCTTGAATTACTTGGTCTGGTTTGGTCTGCCGTGTACCGGAGGCGTTGCTTTCATTCAGACGAATACGGCTGTTTTGTTTGCTAAAGGTCAAGAAAGCAACAGATAATTACAGACCCGGTTACTCCTGGCTTTAAATAGAAGTTTGTGCGGGGTGTTTAGTGTGAGAGATCTGCTGTTTGGCAACAAAGCGAAGGTGGATTATCTGCAGTGAAACCAGATCCGCCGATTGCACGGAAAGCAAATGCAGACTTTAAAGCAACTTAGTTATAAAATGAATTAGCCTCAAATTAGCAGATTGCCCAGAAGCCGTATTCTGATCTGATCCCTCTGCGGTTTGATGCTTGCGTTGCGTTCGGCTCTTCGATCTAGAATAAAATATTCAAGAGTAGTTCCTCAGGCAGACCTGAAAAAATGCCAGAACCAAACAGGAAGAGTTCCAATATTTTATAATTGGTGATGTAAATATAGGGAACAGGCCTCGGGGCTGTTCCCTAGGAAGGCGTTTATTTGCAATTAGCATTTTTAGTCCTCCCAATTTACTGTAAGAGGCAGTGTTTCTCCACCTTGGCAGTTTGAAGGTGGGTGGACTTCAACTCCCAGAATTCCCCAGTCAGGAACTAGAACTTGTGCAGTCCTGGTGATTGGCCCAAAGTCACCCAGCTGGCTTTCATGCGTAAGGCGGGATTAGAACTCACCGTCTCCTGGGGATTGGCCCAAAGTCTTCCAGCCAGCTTTCGTCCCTAAGGCGGAACTAGAACTCACAGTCTCCTGGTGATTGGCCCAAAGTCTTCCAGCTGGCTTTCATGCCTAAGGCGGAACTAGAACTCACAGTCTCCTGGTGATTGGCCCAAAGTCTTCCAGCCGGCTTTCGTCCCTAAGGCGGGACTAGAACTCACCGTCTCCTGGTGTTTGGCTCAAAGTCATCCAGCCGCTTTTCATGTCTAAGGCTGGACTAGAACTTACAATATCCCGGTTTCTAGTCTAGTGCCTTAACCTCTAGACCAAACTGGCTTCCTCTAGCCCAGGGGTAGCCAACCTTGGCCCTTTTATGACTCGTGGACTTCAACTCCCAGAATTCCTGAGCCAGCCCTGCTGAGGTGAAAGGGAGAAGTTTCCAAGCTGAGCCAGGCTGGCTCAGGAATTCTGGGAGTTGAAGTCCACGAGTCATGAGGGGGCCATAGTTCCCCCATGCTGGCTCAGGAATTCTGGGAGTTGAAGTCCACGAGTCATCAAGGAGGCCATAGTTCCCCCATGCTGGCTGAGGAATTCTGGGAGTTGAAGTCCAGGAGTCATGAAGAGACCATAGTTCCATATTGGCTCAGGAATTCTGGGAGTTGAAGTCCACAAGCCATGAAGGGGCCATAGTTCCCACATGCTGGCTGAGGAATTCTGGGAGTTGAAGTCCATCAGTCATGAGGGGGCCATAGTTCCCCCATGCTGGCTCAGGAATTCTGGGAGTTGAAGTCCACGAGTCATAAAAGAGCCAAGGTGGCCTACCCCTGGCCTATACCATTGTTTCTCCACCTCAGCAACTTTAAGACATATGGACTCCAACTCCCAGAATTCCTGAGCCAGCCATGCTGAGGGGAAAGGGAGAGGTTTCCAAGCTGAGCCATGCTGGCTCAGGAATTCTGGGAGTTGAAGTCCACCAGTCACAAAAGAGCCAAGGTTGCCTACCCCTGCTCTAGCAAATGCCATACTTGGGGGCTTCTCGCCATTTCACCCCTTCCAGCCCTTTTGCAGCTTCCTGTCCTCTCTGAGATGTTGAACTGAACTGGATTTCAGGCTGTTTCCCCCTTGCCAGCTCATTTGCCAGTCCTGGGCAACTGGACATTGCGGACTACGCCCTCAGGCCAGGAAGCTTTCCAGTTGGCAAATCGTATTTCCTGCAAGGTGGTGTTTTATTTTCAAGCATTTGGCAACTCCAGATGCTTAGAAAGCTGTTGCTGGAAGTCAGAAGACTGGAGGCTAGTTCTGAGAATAACCACAAGAAATGAGGAAGAGTTACTGGCTGTACTGTACAGGTGGCCGTTAACGTTACAACCATTTGTTCAAGTGACCGTTTGAAATGACGACAGCGCTGAAAAAAAAAGGGAGGACCGTTTTTCCGCACTCAGAATAGAATAGAATAAAAGAGCTGGAAGGGACCTTGGAGGTCTTCTAGTGCAACCCCCTGCTCAGGCAGGAAACTCTATACCCTTTCAGATAAATGGCTGTCCAGTCTCTTCTTAAAAACTTCCAGTGTTGGAGCATCCACGGCTTCTGGAGGCAGGTGGTTCCACTGGTTAATTGTTCTGACTGTCAGAAAGTTTCTCCTTAGTTCCTGGTTGCTTCTCTCCTTGATGAGTTTCCATCCGTTGCTTCTTGTCCTGCCTTCAGGCGCTTTGGAGAATAGCTTGACTCCCTCTTCTTTGGGGCAGCCCCCGAGAGATTGGAAGGCGGCTGTCATGTCCCCCTTAACCCTTCTTTTCCCTAGAACTAGCCAAACCCAATTCCAGCAACCGTTCTTCGTATGCTTTAGCCTCCAGTCCCCTGATCATCTTCATTGCTCTTCTCTGCACTCTTTCCAGAGTCTCAACACCTTTTTTATATTGTGGTGATCAAAACTGGATGTAGTATTCCAAGTGTGGCCTTACCAAGGCCTTGTAAAGCTGTGGAGTTTGTAGAGTGAAGGCGAAGGGGAGGAGGAGGAGGAGAAAAAGGACTGTGGGGTCCTTGGTGCTCTCTGAGCTTGGTGGTTTTCTTGCAGATATTTCATAACCCAACTGTCACACCATCCGATGGCGTCCAAACAAAAAGAGTCAGAACGCAGGAACGTTGTGCAATCAAAGGCAATTTTACTTCAGCCCAAAACAAAGTCAGCACTGGGAGTGGTTTGCTCCCAGTGCTGTATATAGATGTGCCACGCCCCGTTACCCCACCCCCAGCCGCAAGCCACCATCCGCCCTGTGCTTATAATTGTCCCGGCAGTTTGGACCCGCCCCTCCCGGGAGTCAATCAAGCCTTGGTGGTTCTCCGTCCGGCCGCTTGTGTGCTGCGTCACCCAGCTTCCTTCCTCGAAGGCTCTTTTGTCCAGGGAGTTCTAGGTCGGTGTCAGCCCTTGCTCGGCATTCTGAGCTCTCCCGCGCCGCATGCTGGTCTGCCGGTGTTGTGTGGCCCGTTCGGCTTTCCCCCTGGCGTTCGCGGCGTTCTCCGCCTCACTGCGGCTTTCCCTGGCTGGCCCCAGCAGTTCCGGCTGGTTGCCGGCAGTTGGCTGTTCCTCCCTGGCTGCCTCGGCCCCCCCGGCCCTGTCGGTGAGCGCCCAGTAGGGCGCAGCGTCGCCAGGCCTCCCCCCTTCGCGCGAGGCTTCTGGCGTTCCCCCTCGCGCTCGGCTGTGGCGGCCCGGGGTATTCCGTCCCGGCCATGACAGGCAGCGCCGCAGGGAACGGAAGGGAAGGGGGGAGGGCCGTACCTGGAGCATTGCAGGCCGGGGCGACGCCGGGAACGAGCTGGGCGGCTGCGGCGACGGCGGCGGGAATGTGCTGGGCGGCCTCGGCGGCGGCGGCGTTCAGCTGGCGCTCCCCCAACCCCCGCAAGTGAATGGCAAGCCCTGTGGGGCTTGACATGCCACCCCCTCTACCATGGCTCCTCCTGGAAGAGAAAAGGGTTCGGGTAAACACCTGGCACCACGCGCTACCGCCCCTGGCTTTTCTGGGTGTCTATGATGGAATGCCCGTACCAGCCGAGGGGCATGGACATCCTGCTCCCCAACCCATGATGCCTCGGTGAGGGGGTATCCCTTCCACCGGAGGAGGTATTGCACCCGTCCTCGGCGGATCCGGGAGTCAAGCACCTCCTGCACTTCGTACTGTGACCCGGTGACCGGCCCCGGCGCGGTTGCTGCCGGCGGGGCCCCGGTGACTAACTTCAACAGGCTCCCGTGGAACACGGGATGGATCTTGCCCAGAAGGGGGGGCAGCCTCAAGCGGACGGTCACCGGGTTGATCACTTGGACTATTTGGAACGGTCCTATGTACTTGGGACCCAATTTTTTGCAGGGCACCCGCAGCTTGAGGTATTTCGTGGATAGGTATACCCAGTCCCCCACCCGGAAGGGTCTGTGCTCCGCCCTCTTCTTATCGGCCTGCGCCTTTACGGCTGCTTTGGCCTTCCGTAAGGTCTCCTTAACCTTCCCCCATAGGTCTGCCACCCGCGCCACCCACGTCTGTGGGGTGTGGGGCGTGACCGTTCCCTGAGGCCACTCGAGGATGGGAACGAACTCCACCCCATGCACCACCCGGAATGGAGTGAACCCTGTGCTGCCATGCACGGTGTTATTATATGCCACTTCCGCAAAGGGCAGGAGGTCCACCCAATCGGTCTGCTGGTAAGTCACGTAGCTTC